GGTACTGTTTTTCTCATATTTAGTTAGCAGCGCCATCGACTCTATCAACAATGATTTTCAACTCATTGTCCATCCATTCGATCTCGCTTGCTGTGACCAAGGCTGTTAGCCACTGAGAATCATTAAGTATCAACTGGAGACCATCGTCCAGCCATACTCTGATGCGCATATTCTGTGGAGCCTGGGAATTGTTTTGCCCGTGGTAGTACTGACGGATGGTGCCGTGTAGAGTATCAAAGTCAGTGCATTGGCTGGCGGGAACTTGAAAACGAGGGACTATGCGTTTATGGTCCTCATTTTGTATGATGTTGATGGATAGAGTAACTGGTAAAGCATCTGAAGCAGATTGTTGATGCTGTGGTTGTTGCTGGTCCAATCCAGGCTGTACCTGTATAGGGACCTGAGGTACCACCTCGGATGTTGGGAACTGAGGATCCTGGGCCTCAGTACTAGCCGGTTGGATATTTGGGTGCTCCAGAAGATAGTTTTTCACGATGCGAGTGGCATCACGGGTAATACCAGTTGCGCTATATATTGGGGAACATACCCGGTTAATATCAGAGCAAATATACATCTTGTCCAACACAGGGCGAGTTTTCAACTTACAAGTAATTCCGCGCAGCAATGTCTTCTTCACCGCTGATCCGGAAGTTCACCTCCGACATTGATTCAGATGACATTAGATGGTTGACAGTGCACTCTTGGCAGCTATCGGTACACTGCGTTGCATCACCACCATGGTCAATTTGATAGTGGCAGTCTATAGCAGCAACTAGTCCCCACCAATCTGATTGAGGCAGGCCAGAGATTGATCCAAGGCTATCCAGGCGGTAGTCTTGATTATACATCTCGTATGCTCGTGCGACTGAGTCCCAGTCCGTTTGATAGGTAGGGTATTCGTTCCTGATGAGACCCAGCATTCCGAGCTCAGCTGTGCCACTGGGAGGTGGCTGATGATAGCGTGCAGCGCTATCAGGTATGGGGTTAGTGGTGGATCCCGAATTTCGCTTCGATTTATCTTCAGAGTTCCCTCCCTTTCGAATCTCGATGGCATATTGGCGCTGTCGTTCGTTAGTGACCATTCGACGGAGCAGAGGAGTGACAAGAGAGATGATTCTCTGATCGTCTCTAGGCCAGATCAGTCTATCTGAGCTGGCACCATCATTCTCGACATGTTCTCCAAAGTATCGTAAACCGTTCCCTTCTCGGTCTAGGAAGTCTCGTACACAGCTCCAAAGCCGGAGTTTGACCATCTCCGTATCGCCACGACCTCTCTGGCCGACACAGTCGCGCCGTTCAGGGTGATTTTCGTCCAACATGTATTGCTTTGCAGCAGCCTGCAGATGGAGGAAGTTCTCTGGAGATAGTCCCAAGGAAGTGAACATCTTGGACATTGGTGGGCGGGTAGCCTTCTTGCTTGATGCTGACGGTTGCCTAAAGAGGGCAACGGCAGAATGGACACCGGCTGCCCGCGCATCCGATATCACTCGCTGCGGAGGCATCTCTCTAATATCCAAAGAAGATCCGTCGGTTTCGGGTACCTGCACCCCAGCTCCGTCTTGGGCCATGCTACTTTCCTCTCCCTCTCCAAATCTGAATCTCGTCGTCGCAGAAGTCATTGCAGGGTCGACGTTGTTCTGGTTACGTTTGCGTTTTCGCACACTTGCGGTTACAGTGCCGGGTGGCGCTTGCCTGCCACCGCCGCTGACTGATGACTCTCCTCCTGGGAGACTTCCGAAGGAATGGCCGGTCGGGCCGGCAGTTGCGAAACCGTTTTCATCTAAATGCATGCCAACACTATAGTTTTCCAGGTGGTTTTGGATACCCCGTCCATGACCGGTAGCCATCATATCACCTGCATCGTTCTGATCCCAGCTTTCGTCCTCACCAGCAGCAGCTGTGGCAGCTTCAACAAGACCGGCCAGTTGATTATCTGTAGGATAACCCGGGGGTACCCCAACACTGTTGCTGCCTAGGTGGGGTGCGTTCCCTTCAATATGCTGTTGCTGCTGGGGCTGCTGCTGCTGGGCCTGTGCTTGAGGTGCATGGCTCACAAATTCAGCACTGGTGTTTTGCTGTGGCCCAAGTGGCATGACACCCTGACAGAGCACTTCAATATCTAATGTATGAAGGTACCTATCCATTTGTTAGCAGACAATTGATGCAGTGTGTGAAATCCGGCATTTGCACACGAAGCAAATGACGAGCAGAAACATTAAAATACACATCGTCAACGTTCATTACGTCGTTTGCGGCGCTGTGTTTTTGCCATTGCCATCGCACCCAAAGTCGCAGCGACGACGTACCTTATTCTACCGGCAACTTTGCCAAATATGCTACAGTCCTCGCAGACGTTGAGCGTGTGGCGAGTGCCTGGTATCCCTGGTATCTCTGGTATCTCTGGTATGTTCCTGCTGTGCTGGCGCTTGCCGGCGCCTAACGCCTGCCGATCTATATTTCTATATTAGGCAGCTGCCAACGGCGGAGTTTGTTGAGCCGCTTGGCCTGGGCGTTTGGGTTGTTTGTGTTGTTTGGTCGCGCCTTCTTGAAGAGGAAAAAAATTTCTCGATGTTTGAATTTTTTGTCTTCGAGACAAATTATGTAAACAAATCACGTGATTGACTCTTATTACGTCATAAGATAAGATAAGATGGTGGCAACGACAACGAAAGACGAAAAGACGAAAAGATGAATGATCTATTGAAAAAGCAACATCAAAGGGTATATTTATTTATACATAAAGAAGGTAAAGATGAGTTTTGAAATATAACAGTGAACATGCTGGATGAATGCAAAAAAAAAAAAGGAAAAAAAAAAAAGGTGGTCCTCTTGAATTAAAAGCCGTCACCTTCCTTCCACGGTCGACCAGCAATCCGAGCCCTGACGCGAGGATCCCGTCCTCGAGCGAATGCTGCATTCCTTATTTCATTAAACACGGCCCTTTTCCGCTGGATCTCCTGCTCTATCTGCTGCTTCCTAGTCATCCTAGGGACCTCCATCTTAGCCAGAGCAGTGAAATTCTTCTCCTTTTTCGCGCTTGCTACCTCCTGTTCCTTCTTGCGCCAGTGGTCCAACTCCAGTCGCAGACCGTAGAGGATATTTCCCAAGTTCTTGAATTCTTGAAACGGCTTGTCATTGTCGAAACAGAGACCGTAGCCGTCACAAAAACACACTCGCTCGGCGGGGCAATAGACGTACTGTCCGGTGAATATGATATGCCAGAGATACTCCCATACGCGGCCGGAGTAGAAATCAATTAGATTCGTGCGAAGCAGCCAGTCACGGTAGTAGATAAGGTGAGATCGAGGGATTGCCTGGGCCCTTTCGCGAGAGAGGGCAAACTCGGCACAGCACTGGCCGCCGATAACATCTGGGATCGGTATGGAAGGGAAAATGTCTTTCCAGCCTTTGAGGACGCTAGCTTCTTCTGGCTTCGCCGAATCTTCCTGGGTGTTATGAGGATTTATCCAGCCCGGGCAGCCGGGTGCCCACGCACACCGTAGGTTCATGAAGCCATTCCTGACTACTCGTTCAATGCTTAGCCGTCTCACCATCTCCGCAGCATCTCGATTTAGGGGCTCTTCGTGGTGCCAGGCCTCTTGATGCGCGTGCATGAATATCATGATCTCTGGCAGGTTGTCATAGTTGTCGATAAGGTATGTTAGGTAGACCATGGCCTCCCGGCCTTTGTTTTTGGGGATTCGAGGAAACGACAGTGGGTCGTCAACGACATAAATCTCCTTCTTGATATCCTCGAGGCTGTTGATCCAGTCGACCCTTTCTGTTCGTAATCGAGGGACAATAAGGGCTTTCGTATAGTTTGACCCCGGTGGCTTCGGGGTTCCAGCGGTAAAGTTGGAGATGATAAAGACATCTTCTGCTGTAATTGGAGTGGGTGCTACTGGGGCCTTATGCTGGGCCTTATTTGAACCTGTCCATCCCTTTGAACTGGTGTTAGCAAGGCCAGCTTTTAAGGAGAGCTTCACTCTGCGGGGAAGGAGACCCAGCTTACCTTTATTTGTGGTACTGATGCGGAGAGCCGCTGGCTGGTTATTATAAGAGTAAGAATAAGTAGAAAGATGACTATAGGTAACTGGATCCCTGCCTTTGGGATTAAGGAGATCATGGTTGTTCGTCAAGCAATCAATACCATGCAAGCGACGAAACCAAAAAGAAAAATAAATAAAAATAAAAATAAAATAAATATACAAAACGAACAACTTCCCGTCCTTCTTGTCAAAACAAGCAGCGGGTAAGAATAGTAATAATGACGGGGGGGAAACCAGCCCCTATTATAAAAAGGGAGAAAAATCGCCGATGGGGGTGAAAACCCATCGAGGAGGCGAAAGTCCCGCATGTCCCAAAGGGCATGGTTCCTGGTTCCACAGCGATTAAAGGACGGGAGAGTATGGGCCAGCGGATGATAGCCAAGCACGCAGAGTGGCATATGTGTATGGATGACCCTGTGGATCGTCCAGGACAAAAGCATTTCGAGGCCATCATCAGCGCTGCCGGTTGTCGGATATGGGCCACTTTGTAAGCCTTCATGGGCCGTGAGTGCCAACGTAATTGGCCGGCATTTAATGACTGATCGTTGGGTACATTCCTCAAGTCAGTCGGGGGTACGGAGTATGTACAGCATGTATTGTTATCAGAGCCCTAGAACGAGAAGTATATGAACGTTGCGTGATGCTGGGAGAATCCATGCAGATGCACTCCGGTGACGAATAGGCTCGTATATCTCCGCGATGATCCAAGGCCTCCTTGCTCAACGGCATAAGCAGAAACAGGGTCTCTAACCTCAAACATGACAGCAAGTCCGCTTGTATCCATCCAGCAGACAGCGGCACACGACTTGCCTATCGGCAACCCAGGCGAGACAAGGCCGGATAGTTGGAATTATAGATCGCTGTGGAGACTGTCTGGCCAGCTAATTAATTAACTAGGCTTCTTCAGCATTAAGGGCAGAAGGAGGCTAAGTTAGCTGAGCCTCCACCCCTGGGAACCAACCGCCCGCGATCCGGATATAAAGACTGTGTGGAGGGCAATTCTCGTCTTGCGGTCGTCGTCGTGTACCTGAGTACTTCGTATCTTGACAAAGGAGAAGAATGAGGACAGAGTACGTCGCCTGCAGCCACAAAGACGGCCCTGCCGCGGCGGCGGCCGGTTTACTCGTAAGCTCTCCACCGGATGACGCAGATCTGGAGGTTTCACCTGCACCAGCCTCCGCTGCTCCGTCCTGAGGCACACTCTCTCACACTCCGTTAAACAACATAAAAAGGTTTAAGGGTCGCTAGCTCAGGCCGACTCTGAAGGACGCCATTGTTTTTTGTTATCAATTCTTCGAGCGGACGCCTGGTTGGTTGGGTCAAGAGCAAAGCTTTGCCGTCGCTTTTGACTATCGACGGCTTTTTGATGGCGGCCGTGAGCGAGGCTTCTGATTGGCTGCTCGCGGCATTTGGACTCGTTCCATATAACATCGCACAGAGAAATATAAACATGGAGTTAGATCTGCTCATATTGCAATAAATACTCCGTAATTACATTAATATGGTCATGCTAACATCATTTTGGGGGGTTCAGGCTGAAGCTACAAGTACAAGCTTAGCAGCTCAAGATAGAGCCTAGTTTGTTCACCACAAACTCCTAAGCAGAGGAGTCAGCATCCCTCTTACCTCTGGCAGTAGCCACAGAAATGCTAACGTAACATCCGTCGCTCTTCACAATGTCCGACTCGGTGGGCAGGCGACCGCCGTTACCGCAGATGTTCACGTCGGGGTTCCCGGAGGTAGGCAGGATGCGGGTGAGGACAAAGCTGAAGTCATCAGGGCTGGTGCAGTCATAGTCGGAAACGGCGCCGAAGTTGACGTTGAGGAAGATACCGGGGGGCAGGATTGGCTTAGCATTCTGCAGCAGGGCGTTGGTGACCTGAGCGGCGAGGGTAGCGTAGACCTCGCTATAGTTCGGGGTATAGTCCCAGTAGGCGGTTAGATGGCCGACGCTGCCAGAGAAAGCAATGGCGGGAACACCCTCAAGGGCAGCCTCGGTGGCTGCACCCACGGTACCGGAGATCTGGACGGTTCGGCCCAGGTTGGCGCCGACATTGGGACCGGCAACGGCAAGGTCTGGGCGGCCGCCGAAGAAGCGAGGGGCGACGTTCTGGATGCCATATCTCATCGAGGTGACGGGGAAAGAGTTGACATAGTTGAATCGTGGGTTGTTCTGGTCGTAGCCAACGGCAGGACTACCAGCTGGGCAAGAGTCGAACTCGCAAGGAGTGTTACGGGGGGTTGGGTTAGCATCCGAGGAGCCTAACATCGAGCAAGCTCTTCGTTAGCTACTGGAAAGTCTCGTTATAACGACCTCCCATAACTAGCATTATGCTTACCAGTGCCACTCTTGTTGTCAGCTGGCGCAGAGACAACCACGCTGTGTCCTGAGTTGGTCAAGGCATTGTACAAGGTGTGCAAGTTCACCTCAGCCCAGCCATCGTCGTTGGAGGAGACAATGTTGGCCGCCCGAACGGCGAGGGGGAGCAAGCAAAGGGCCACACGGAGCTGCATGATTGAGTATTGGCGATGCTGTAGCTTGGGAGTGAAGATGAAGGCTGCTCTGTCTCTGGTCAGCCCTCAACGAAAGGGGACAGCAGAGCTCATTTTATACCCTTCTCTCTGTCTTCCTCCTTCGCATTCTCCCGTCCACTCATTCTCCTCTTCTTCCTGCGCTGCTACCGTTACCGCCTCTGCTTCTCTGCCTCTTTCTTCCCCTCCAGCTCCCAAGCATGCGGGTGATCGCCGGTGCAGGCTGGTCCCCCACCCCTCTCGAAGGCACAACAAGCTCGACGGGCAGCATCCGACTGGGTATTCTGCATCTTCAGGACCATTCTTCGCCAACAGCCAGCTGCCATATACCCAATAGCCTGGCTCAGTTGCGGCACTCGCAGGAATCAAGCATCCTCAAGGTCGACGGTGTGCAGGGAAGGGCTCGAAGTTGCTCACGGGCTGAAGCGAAAGGGTCGCTTTTTTTCCTTCAGCAGGGGAGGAAGAAGTCAGCCTTCCAGGACGCCAGGAGAGACCGTGTGCTCGACATCCCTGCTCCGGTGGTGGAACTCCATGCGCCGTGTTCCAGCGCTGCTGGGGAGGTTGTTGATGCTTAGTTCGTCTGCCGGTGGATGTGATGTGCGGGAGAAGAAGAGTCGAAGCTGGGCCGAGGTTAAAATAAACGGCGCTCCACCCTGATAATAATATTAATGATAACGATGATAATAATAACGCCGGAGCTACAGAGGGTACTATGAACAGCTATATAGGTGTTATTAAAGGCTCCAAAGTACTCCATAGCGAAGAGAAGACAAACGATGTTACATGAAGGGGCGCTCATTGGATGGACCGCTACCGGAGATAGATACATCTGGCTAATCATCCTCCGCTTCGTCCTCCACAGTGGCTGCTCGGCCCTTTTGCTTGGGCACAGAGCTGTGCGTACTATTATCTCCTTCACTATCGTTCTCGTTGTCGTCACTGTCATTATCATCTCCTTCTTCGTCGTTTTCGCCTTCGTTCTCGTCTTCTTCACTTTCTGCGTCTTCTCTGTCATGTTCGGCTTGTTCAGGGAAGCTACGTGCCGATGGGTTGTTGAATAGTGACCTGTTCTCGTGGGTTTCCTCTGGGGATTGAGAAGCTCCACGGGAGGGTAGGCCATGGGGCTCTCGCTGGGGTGAAGTGCTTGGCAAGGATGGTGCCGGAGCTGTGTTGTTAGTAGTATCATGTGGAGGAGTTATAGTTGGAGTATATTGAGAAGACTGCGGCGGTGTAGTGCCGGACGTAAAAAACTCAGGTGGGCTTGCAGGACCGGTGCTTGACACACCGATATTCCCGTTTTCCTGGCCCGGGGTGACTGTGTGAGAAGTGATTGTAGCTGTCGTGTGGTTGTGATTTGGAAATGGGGACGTTGAGGCCGATGGAGGAGCAGATGATGATGATAATGGTGATGTTGCGGTTGGAATGTTTGCATTAGCGCTTCCTGCCGCCGTGTTGTGAGGGCCTATTGGTGGATTTAACGGTAACGTGCGTTGCAGGGGCACCAGAGTCCATCCTGGTGGGATGGAAACCCCTTCGGGAAGACGTGGATCGCCTGAAGGTATCGAAGTAAGATGAGGGTTTGTAGCAGTATATGACTGGCTATAGTTAGGACGTATGGTCGTCGAATGGCTTGTACCCGAGGGGGTCGTACGGGCGGTGAGAGGATGTGCTTGAGTGGTATTTGGCTGAACCCTAGAGGACCCAGGGCTGGTGGTATTCTGGGTACTAGCCGAGGCGTTGCTCTGCACAGTGCGGAGCCGAATCAGTTCGTAATGTAGAGCTCGTATGACCTGTAGTTGTTCCGCAGTATTTGTGAGGTTGTTTATCTCCTGCATCACTTGATGTTCAAGCTGTTGGGTGACCTGCTGCACATCCCTGTGGTTAAACTCGGAAGTAGAACCGGGCGTGTTTCCAGCAATCGGACGGTCAATGCCAAATCCAAAACCTGTCCGCGGCGCTTGTCCCCCAGGAGGTGGGTTCTGGTTCTGATTTGCAGCCGGTGCCTGTGCAGCTTGACCGTGGATCCCCTGGCCCATATCAATATTCTGTAGCATGTCGCCACGACCCGCTCCAAATCCAATGCGGACTGGACCAAAATTAAGAAACCACATACGGCGTCGGATTTCTCCGTCTGCAGCACCTGCTTCGTTCCCGCCTTGTTGCTGGTCTCCTGCTCTTTGTCCTCCAGCCGCTGCACCACGCCCTGCAAATGGTCTAGCATTTCCTTGGGTGCCGGTAGTGACCGGCTGTCGACAGGTAGGACAATTCTGTTGCCGCTCTAGCCAGCTTCGTAGACAGGCAAAATGAAGTAAGTGGCCGCATGGGAGTTTTTTCGCGCGTAGTCTTTCGGGAATTGGCCTGGTTCGCCGAGCAGGAGCAGCTGCTCCATCATTTGCTGCTGGCGCAGGAATCCAAGGCTGCATCTCCTCACGACATATAATACAGACATCCTCCCTTGCTATCTCCTCTGCAGTTGCATCAGGATATCGTTGGTTCATATCGCGGGTAGCGTTTCGATACCGGATGAAGTCGATAATACGTTTGGCAAAAGATCTCATCGTCACAACCACATCTCTAAGAATATGGATTGGAAGTCCGTAAAATCTGAATAGGATGGCGAAGAATGAGAGATATACTACCAGCTTTAGAAAGTCTGCCAGGTGATTGAAATGTCAGCTTATGAAGTCAGTTCTGGGGCTGGATAATCAATCCTTACCGGTAATAAGGTCCAGGTAGAACACCCATCGACCCTTTTCTTCCCATCCTGAAACATCCAGCTCCATTTCATCTATATCATCCTCACTTGGTAAATTGTCCGCATTGGGAGCCGGAAGACCTGAGGCAGCCTGTTGGCGAAGAATTCGTTCCCTCTCCGCTCGGATCTCTGCTCTGCGCTCCGCTAGCTTGGCCTGTTTCTGCTGTCGAGTGATATAAATCTCCGCCAGCGAAAGAGTATATCTAGCCATGGTCGAAGTAGAGAGTATTGTAAGGACAGCAAATTCGAAGCCGAACATTACCATCATATCGGGCCGTGCCTGCCGCAAAACCGTTTTGATGGCGTATTCGAGCATCTGCGAGTTGAATAGTACTGATATAATCAATGACACAGCGAGTCGGGTGTGGAATAAGCGTGGATTGGCCGGTGGTTGCTGTTCAAGGATTTCTACCCTACCCTCACCGATCCATCCCCAGATCTTTCCCGCAAGCAAGGCAACGAACATGACCATGAACCAAGCTCCTAGTTCGCCCCGGAAGATCGTCATGGCCAGACACGTCTCAGTAACCGCAAACCATGCCTTCTCGTACAGTTGTTCGGTTTCAATCTGCCGTAACGGGCCATACAGAAGCCTCTGGAGGCCAAAGAGAGTGTAACCGGACATAAGTAGGCATAGGTTCGTCAGGATCTATAGAAGAAGCGAAGCCGTTAGCATCCATCTCTCTCAACGGGCTAGCTCTTCCTCCGCTCGCCATATTCCAAACGCCTGAGCCGGTTCCATCCATACCATGAGATTCGCATTATTCTGGGAAAGGAAAACAGCGGCAGAATAGAAGTTTGAGCGTTGGTGTAGCGCTCGCAAGGCTACCCCCGCGGCGAGGACTATGGAAGTCTGTTTAAGCGGGTGTTAGTAACAATTCCACGCAGGCTGGATGGTTTGCGAAGAGCGATTAGCATACCCCAGTGTAAGCAGCCAGCCTCATAGTGGATGGTGATCTAGATGGAATCGCAAAATAACAAGACAACCATGCAGTCGTTGAAGCTAGCTATGGCGTTGGTTAGACTAGAGATGTCAATATCTCATGGCTGAAATGGGCCGTCGTCCGAGACGAGAGAGCGTCCTAGTCACTCCTCTCAACTGTGTATCCAGTGAAGCAAGCCCAAAAGAGTGTTGTCCGTCTGCTGCATCCTGCCAGCCTGGCTCCTTTTTGACGTAGTTTGCTTGTTCGTCGTTGTTTTTGCTCGAAGTGGACACTTTGCTTATCTGATAGAGTATTGATGACTCAGCTTTCATTAGTAATCACAATCTGATAAGGATGTTTTGGCTTTGTCAGCATCGACTTTCAGCTCCATCAAACTTGCAACCTTCAACCTCCCAGCATTCAGCTTTCGACTGTCATCATCAAACCCGCGCCAATAGAGCTACAAAAGGATGCGTAAGGCATCCTGTTGTGCAGATTATATTCTTGTACAGGATTGTTTAACTTCAGGGGCACATTATCGAGATTGTCGTCGAGCCATCAAAGGAATGCAAGTTTGCCGGTGAATCATGATCTCCCAGAGCCGGCTGCAGACGGCCACCTACTTGCTAGCCGTTTGTCCCTTCTCCATCGCCTTTTTAGTGTTTATGAACTCGGCGGTATCCTTTGTTGTCACGGACCTAATCAAACTTGAGCATGGCCATGGCAATGCTGTCGGAACCCTGGGTTTCGCAGACGAGCTGTTAGCTCTAGTTGCTTGTCCGCTCTGGGGCTTGATATCAGATCGCATTGGAGCAAGATATGTAAGGAGCCTGTCGAAAGCCTTTTGATGTTGTTACTACACTACAGTTACTCAGTGACTTATGATACATGGAACTTTCTAATGTGAAAGTAGGTGTCCACAATCGGCTATTTTATAGTGGCAGTATCTCTAGTCATATTTGTGCAAGCCAAAAATGTTTACCCCCAACTCTTGCTAGGAAGGCTTTTATTCTGCCTTGGTGGCTCAGCGGTAGCAACTATGGTGACTGCATTACTTCCTGCTATTACTGCTAATCATGATATCTCCAAGTGTCCCGCCCCTGGAGTTGCTGCTCCTCTAGTTTGCACTCCAGATGCGGCCAACACTGGGAATGATGAAACTTCTCGTGTAACAGGCCAAGAACGCTCAGCAAGCTCTGCACCCCGGCTAGCTGGGTATGCCGGTATGTTCACCGGCTGTGGCGCTCTTATAGCTCTCCTCCTGTTCCTTCCCCTCCCTGTGCGTTTCCAGAAAGCTGGTTACT